AGGTGCACGCGTCATGCCACAAGAGGTAGTCTGGAAGTGACTATGCTCGGTGGTATGGGTGGGCAGAGGTTCACGAACCGCAGAAACAAAAAGGCGCGAGAGGGCGCAAGTGTGTGTGTGTGTGTCTTTCTTCGTTCCTCAAAGGGAGAACCTGAACGAGTCGTGGGTGAAAGCATGCGTCAGAGGTGTCCACCGAGTCTGACTCCAGTTGAGAGGTCACCGAGTCGAGTCAGACCATCATTGCGTGTCCGCGCCGTCGAAGCTGGTGAAAGCATGCCGGTCGAAGCCGGTCAAACACTGAAAACGATGACGAAGCGAAGTCTATCCCTACTTACGTCCAGTTTGACCGAGTAAAACCGAGTCTTGTAGCTCCTTATATAAGCAGTAGTGTTTTGGTGTGACCAGGTCCAGTAAACTACCTGTAGGCTATTGTAACCTACTCCCGTGGATGACCTGTTGTTGAGTGATCCACCCAAATGCACTCTCAAAAGCATGAATCGCCAGCACCGCTTCAGTAGCTTGTCCCCGGGTGCCGAAGCGAATCATGGGCGAGTGGCACAAATCCTGGTGGGAGACTTGGCCATTTGCCCCACCTCGGAGATCGTGCCAAGAAGGAAGCAACACCCAAACTTGGATTTGCTTGAGGAACTAATAGCAAATATCCCCAGAAGGGGATTTACCGACAGGGAAATAGACAATGGCCTGAAGCAAAACCCGGCAACAAATATTGAAACTGACAAACCACAAACCACCCCCAGAGTAGATGTTCTACAGGCATATCTTTGGCAGCTCCTTCGTTTCTGGCGGCCATGAGCTGCCAGAATGGTGCAACCGTGCAACCATTAACTTTGGAGTCAAAGACAACATTTTGTCCCCAGCAGTCACAAAGGGGTGCTTATTGGAGGATAGGGGTGCCCATTATCCCCCTCACTGGATGGAACTACAAACCACCCCGTCTCGTGACTCCTGGAGTCAGGTTCTCTTTTCCATACGAGTCATCCCCAAACCAGGGTTTGAAAAGGGAACAAAACAAGCTCGGGAACCAGGGCGACGGGGTCCACCCAAGACACTTCCAGTCAGCTCCACATGCCGGTATGTGCGAAGCCACCTGGACCACAGTAAAACGTTGCAGAACCACTTCACTTGCAATCCTTTGAAACCGTGTTTAAAAAAAGAACGAAGTCAACTGGCAGCCGCTCCAACCACCAAAGAGATTCAAAAAGTAGTATAAGAAACACCAACCAGGACCAACCAACGTTAACCAACCAACCAACCAAACAACCAGCCAGCCAGCCAGCCAGCCAGCCACACCACACACCCACTTGTCTCCACTGAGTACGCTACCGATGAATCATCCTTTTCGGAAGAATGGAGAGGTCAGTGCCCGGTACCATATACCTATTGCTTGTATACCCTCTGAGAAGGTGATGTTTTCCCAACACATTGAGGTAGGCGCCACGAGGGGCAAGTCGCACCGAACCGCACCGAAGGTATTGGGATCACGGTGGTACATGGCCGCGGGTATCCTCTCCATTGACCAACCCGACCGCATCAGAAGCCATGGGACGAAACCAATCGCACCAAGCACCACTGCGCTAAGCCCCGCAATGATCCCCGCGACGGTGACGTATCTGCCGGGCAGGTGGCGTACGGTCAAGTGCGGAGCAACAAACGGTGGGAAACCTTGGATGTTGAAAAAGATCAAGCCCTTTTGCAAAGCTAAGGTTTCGCTAAGAACCTCGAACGTCAGTTTGGTCTTAGAAATGGACATGTTGGACGACGATGCTAGTTTTAACCTAACTATATATAGAACTGTTCCCACAAAGACCCGTTCGCCGGCTGTTCGATATCTTATACATCTATAGTCAACGTCATCCGGATGGCATCCACATACTCCATTCGCAGAAAAACGGCATGTAGTGCTTAAAACATTTTCGCAGTGCGCCATATTGGGGCTTGAAGAAGGTGCAGCTTGAGCGCAAAGAAGGTGCAGCTTGAGCGCAGCAATGGTGGTCTAAATGGTCCACGTGTCAATGGTGGAGACGGTTGACACAGTCACATGGATGGATTTGATTCAGAGCAGTTGTGGAAGTCTATGCCGCATAAGTGGTACGGAAAAATGAAAATCCAAAGTTTTGCATACCATGTTGAGTTCCATTGCCTTCCTAGTCCCCCAGAAGTAGTAGTAAACATCGCTAGTTCACGGTCATGCAATGCAACAGAAACTCGACATGGTAGTAAATGAGTTGTAAACCAACATGTATTCTTAGAACAAAAAATAATGTAATCTTCGACCAACCCATGCCGTCACAATACTCCACACAAACCACAAAACATCCAAATTACAAAATACCCAGCTGCTTCCGACTGGAAACGGGTCCTTTGAATTGGCCTGGAATCCACCTCTGAAAGAAGAGCAGCAAACTCTGCTATGTCACACTGAGAAGACGCTTTTCGTTTTCGACATCGCCTTTGGAGCCAATTGCGTATTGCTCTTGGAGCTTAAGATCTTCTTTACAGGCGTGACTCTATCGAACGGTGCAGGCCGGGCTATGCTCGAAGAAGAGGGCAAGCTCGAACGGGCAAAGTACATCACCAGTCTCCTTGACACTGATCAGCCTTTCCTGATCAAACGTTCCATGTATATGCGTACGATATACATTGACCTCTCAAGCCACCCCAATGTATGGTCACCACATTGAGCCTCTGTGAGGGATTTGCCTGGCCGGTCAAACCTTGTTATTCGCGGAATCTCTGCTTGATTGAATCAAGCGCCTGAAGAAATGACTGACAAATTCAATCTTTCAATGGTTTTCCAATTACATAAAAGTAAAAATATGATAAAATATGCAAAAAACAAAAGAAACCACAGGTGCTCATTCTCACGGACAGGTGTTCATCATCCCTCCCAGTGGAGGGCCGGCAGTGGAACATATTGGAACCGGCCGCTCTTTCTCTCAGGCACCACTCGAAGCTCCGATGGTCATGGGTGGCAAAGGGTCCCACCTTCCCAAAGCGTGTATGCCTGCACATATGCCTATACATTGACCCCTCAAACCACCCGAACGCCATACATGGATGGTCTGGGCTTCAAACAACCACAAAATAGTATGGGTGAAACCTGCTCCAAAAGTGAATTCATCAGGTCTATCACGTTGGGAACCGACGAAACCGCGACTTCTGTCGACTTTGTTCTTTGGGCGACGAAACCGCTCTTCCAGAGCCGCCCTCTCTTCGGGCGCGTTTCAGGGATGCTAGACATCTCCCCAGTCACGAGCTCTCCAGCGGAGGTCTCCCGCGCGGTGAGAACCTCCGCGCCAGGTCTCGCGCTGGGGAGTTCGGCCACATAGCGCTGCTGCCTTGAGCAGAATCGGCACGCCTTTGGCCTTGATGGTCTTGGTGCAAGCAGCAGCAAGAGATATTCATCGTGGCACGTGGTGGTCATTCGGCCCTCTCAAATTGGACATCGACATCCTTTCAACCAAGGTCAATCTGGTGTTGCCAGTTCTTGACCCATCCGTGAGTGAAATAATATTCACGCCCGCCTGTTGCTCTAGACGACGGTTCACCAAAGTTCACAATGAGTCCACAATCACTAGCTGGACAACCCTCAGTGAGAGGTATTATATAATCAATTATAGATATACATATCTATATATTATATTACAACGAAAAACAGTGTCACAGGACACTCTCCCTCCATCACCAGGAGCACTGGACAGATTGAATCTGGAAGTCCATAGGAAGTCTTTAGGTGGTTGCCTTGAGCGCAGCCCTTCAACCTAGAAGGGCTGGGACTTTACTACGAAGGTCCACACTGTCCGCAGGTTGTCCATGTTGTCCATCACGAATTGATCAGCGAGTCGTCGTGGGTTGGCTGGGAAGGTCGTGGGGTCGCAGAATTGGCGAAATCTGTCGTGGGGTCGCCAATTCAGATGAAGAGGTTGTCAGGTTCACCCATGTTTTACCCTAACACGCTTGCCATGGCACACGCCCTCGCAGGCATACCGTAAATTACGTAATTTTGCTGTAGCAAAATGGCGGTTTTTGCAAATGAATTTGGCAACCATGTTTCTCTCAACTCTCAACCGTCTCAACCTTGCTCATTTCCCACTCCTTTCAAGCATCTCAAGACTGCTCATAAGATCTCATAAGGCTCTTTCCCAGAAAACCTTTGGCGTTTTTTTTGGGGAGCACGGCTATTTCATGTGATCCCGCAGCAGCACAACTGCTGCTGTCCAGTATTGCAACCTAAGTTCAGTTCATGAAGTTTGTCAAACAAAGAGGGAGATGAAGTGCATGAAACGACGAACGAAGAAGAGTGCATGAAACGAACGAAGAACGAAGTGCATGAAACAAAGATGAACATGATCAAAAGGAAGACCATGAAACGACGAAGAGGGAACGACAAACTCATGAAAAGAAGGATTCATGAAGTTCATGTAACGACGAGGATGAAATCATCATCCCAGTGGGGCACCGAACGTCATCCTTGGTGAGGTGACGCGAATAGAAACATGCTTGACGTTCCGGACGTGCGGCAGGCACTGTCACCCAAAAACATGGGTTGACATGGGGTTTACTGGTTGGCTGGTGCGGGAAGATCAACATCCGTCACCTGGTCCATAGCCTCAGGAAGCATTTAAGTACTGCAAGTCATGACTCATGATCAGGTGAGCTGATTGACAATCTCTCGTCAATTGCCCCAAGTTCTCAGACATATATAGTTAAATAGTATCCAAGACTTGTGAGAACAAACAATTTGAGACCCCCAAAAAGAGAACACACATGTTAGGAAAAAAACACATCGACAACTGTGCACCAACTCCATCAAACTGCATGAATTCCAGAAGGTCCCATCGGCCCGTTGCTTGTCAACGACGGCCAACTGATGGTCCCTTGAATAAGACTTCGACCCCGTTTGCTCGCAAAGGAGGGGCCGGGTGTGAGGCACATGGTGTGTTAGACGAGTCAGGGCCATTCTGCTTTTCATCGCCCAGCTGCTAAGCCCAACAAATCGAAGAAACAGTAAACTTTAAGTTATGAGTTGACTACAACTACTTGCCAACTGGCGTTATCATCTCTTGACTTGCACTGGCAGGATACAATCCTTACAGGTCAAATGACCTCATTTTACTGGACGTGTTCATACAAAAACACTACTTCAAGACTTGCGGAGGTCAATGATCCGGTTTTTTACTGGGTCAAACTGAGCTTGTCGGCAATCTAGATGATCTGAACCACCTCAGTTCCACCTGACATCCACCTGACATCGTCTGACCCGTGACATCGTCCTCTCTTCGGACGCTGCGACTGGGATGACGCACCGTGACGTCCATGCGATGCGCCGTCAGAGAGACACTCGCCTGTCGAAGAGAGCGTGAAACTGGTCGCCCCCCCCGAAAGGAGACATGGGATCCACGTACCAAAAGGGAGACACGGAGACACCCTTTCTGAATCCCCAACATGATCGAACATGTTCAGGTTAACAAGATATTGACTTGGATCCATTCTGGGTCATGAATAGACTAGCCAGCCCACTACTCATGGACCTCCAGATAGAAAACCCATTAGATCATTAGATGACATTAGATGATCCTATGAGTTTCCCAGTGTTTCACATCTTTTGAACCAAATCGCCTCACTACACTAGGCTTCTTCGATGGAACCGAGGAACCACATCTCAGAAATTCTCCCGAGTCGCTTAACACCCGATCTCCCATGGGTGGAACAGCGCCCCGGCTGCTGTTTGGGAATTAAAAGACACGATTATATAAACAAACATAAATATATGAACTTGAAACGATACGGTTTATGCTGTTTATTTTATATACCGCCCGGGCTGCTTAACATAAAGTTTATGTATAAATCCCATATACACTCCATGGGACTGCCATATATGCCGCCCCATTGACCCCCCCAAACCACCCCAAGGTAGGCAAATATACCATACATGGAGCTTCTGGGAATATGTGTCATTAAAATCCAACGAAGCCAAAGAACGACGATGACGGATGATCCGACTTTAAAGAAGAGAAGTCGTAAGGGATCCGCTTTGGGTCGAGGTAGCGATTTGTTGATATATTCAACCATTCTGGCATGATGGGGCATGTTGGTCTTGATGGCGATGAACACCACCATGCAGTTGTGCGTGAAAACACCGCCAGGAAAGGTTCAAATCAATTGATCCAAACAGATCCCCAACACCCAAATAATGCCATGTAAACCCCTATCTAAACGGATGTTTGGCCCCCATCCAAAAGAACCCATCTTGCCATGTAAACATGTGCCTTTAGCTGTCTTCAAGCCGAAGGAGGAACCCACCTAGCCTCATCCAGAGGTATTGGATGGGTGTGTCTTTTTTCTCCTATGGTATGTTGGTAGATGTCAAGGGTACTCGGTACTCATTGTTTACAGTTGTTTATACTATATACTGTATACACCGGGTATATCTGCAAACCACAAATCCAGAGTCCTCCAGACCGTGTCGCGCCTCTCCTCTGTGTCCTCATGCCTGACCAAAGCAAACCGGGGTTTCGGAAGAGAAGAAGCGAAGCTCATTGACCATGGGGAAACGGTTTAAGGTATAAATTATATGAAAAAACTATATGGTTTTACATGGCATGGGTTT